CCCTATATCCTCTGTTTTGTTTCTTAAATTCCACTCACCAGTGAGAACATATGATAACTGTCTTTCTCTGATTGACTTATTTCACTTATCATAATACCCTCTAGTTCCATCCACATCATTGCAAATGGTAAGATTTCATTCTTTTGATGGCTGAGTAGTATACCATTGTGTGGAGATTATGTGTGTGTGTGTATGTGTGTGTATATATATATGAATAATATATATATCCATTCATCTGTTGATGGACACCTGGTGGGTTCTTTCCATAATTTGGCTATTATGGACATTGCTGCTATAAACATTGGGATGCAGATGCCCCTTCAAATGACTGCATTTGTATCTTTGGGGTAAATATCCAGTCGTGCAATTGCTGGGTCATAGGGTAGCCCTATTTTCAACTTTTTGGGCAACCTCCATACTATTTTCTAGAGTGGCTACCCCTGCTTGCATTCTCACCAACAGTATGAGAAAGTTCTGAGCCCTTGCTCTTAAATTAACCATCCTTTCCCATTTCCCCTTTACTGTGTTTCCATAACACCTACAACCTAAAATACCATATCGTGTAATTATTTGTTATGTTTGCTATTTATTACCCCCACCATAATTAAGCTCCACAGAGAGGTGTTTTTTTTTTTTTTTTAATTTGTTTGTCTGTTTCCTTTGTTGTATCCCAAACACCAGGCACCTAGAAGAGTGTCCAGGGCATATTAGAAACAGAAGGAAAGAATTAGTGAACTGATTTAAAAAGATAACATCTATAGAAATCATTCAGAATGGAGCACAAAATAAAAGTAATTAAGAAATATGGCAGGTCAAGTAAGTGTAGCTCAGTCACATCTTACAGAAGTCAAGTAGAAGTGAACAGAGAATGGGGTAAAGGCATCATCCAAAAAGATAATAGCTGAGAATTTTCCAGAAATGGGGATAAACAAAATTTAAATTTGAAGAAACATGACAGTCTTGAGCCATATAAATAAAAACAAACACCAAGTAAAATATACTAGGGAGTGGGGAAATACAGAATATAGAATAAAATTAAAGTAATAGTAGTAGTAATACTAGCTAACATCTTAATAATATTCACCATGTGCTAGGCACTGTTCACACTTTTTTTAAAAGATTTATTTGTTTTTTTTAGAGAGAGAGTGAGAGACAGCACAAGGAGGGGGGTCAAGGAGAGGGAGAAAGACTCTCAGACTCCCCCTGACATGGGACTTGATATCATGACCCTGAGATCATGACCTGAGGCAAAATCAAGAGTCAGATACTCAACTGACTATGCCGCTCTGGCACCTCAACACACTTTATGTATATTAATTAATCCCTACAATATCCTTTGATGTAGATATTATGGTATGCATATTGCATGTGAGGAAACTGAAACACCACGAAGTCTAGTAACTTCCCAATGTCACACAGCGAATAAGTGGTGGAGTTCAAATTCTAATTTGAACTCTAGCAGTGCAGTTTCAAAATAAATTCCAGATAGGTAATGATTTTACCACAAAATGAATTTATCAGAAATGCTATACAAATGGCAAGATTTCACTCTTTTTTATGGCTGAGTAATATTCCATTGTATTTATATACCACACCCTCTTTACCCATTCATTACTCTCGTCATCTGCAGGGTACTAGAGGGTATTATACTAAGTGAAATAAGTCAGGCAGAGGAGACAAAAACGATGTGATTTCACTTATATGTGGAACCTAAGAAAACAAAACAAATGAATGAACAAAAAACAAAAACAGAGTTATAAATACAGAGAACAAACTGGTGGTTGCCAGACGGGAGAGAGGTGGGAGGATAGGCAAAATAGGTGAAAACCTCCAGTTGTATAATAAATAAGTCATAGGGATTAAAAGTAGAGCATAAGGATTATAGTCAATAGTATTATAATAACTTTGTGTGCTGAGAGAAGGTAAGTACACTTAACGAGGTGAATATTGCATAATGTATGGAATTGTGAAATCACCATGTTGTACACCTGAAACTAATATAACATTGTATGTCAACTATACTTCAACAAAAAAGAGAGACCTAGAGGAGAAAGAAGAGAAGAATGTGTGAATTCAGAAGCAGAGGTTAGAGTTGTACAGTTTCAAGCCAAGGAACACTTGGAGACACCAGAAACTGGATGAAAGAGACAAGAGAGGATTTTCCCCCAGTAGCTTCAGAGGGAGTGTGGCCCTACCAATACCTTGATTTTGGATCTCTGGTCTCTAGGACTGTGAGAGAATAAATTTTTGTTGTTTTAAGCCACTAAAAAAATGCTAGACAGAATTTCCTGTTTTAGTCAGGATGCACTAGATTATACTGCAATAGCGCACAAATCCAAAATCTCAGTGGCTTAAAACAACACAGGTTTATTTCTTGCTCATGGTCATGTCCACCTGATAGGATGGGACTTAGCTTTGTGTCGTCTTCACTCCAGAACCTAGGCTGATGGAGTAACCACTGTTACTGTAATCATGGTTGCTGTGAAGAGGGAAAGAGGGAATATGGTTATTGCTCTAGTTCTTGAAACTTCCATTTAGAAATTTTCAAATAACACGTATCTATTTCATTGACTAGAGAGCAAATCACATGGCAACATTTAACCCCAAAGTGGCCAGAAAAGACAAGCTGACATATATTCCCAAAGGGGAAGAACCAGAAATATTTGGTGAAAACACTAAAAACTTTCATAATCTAGGTGAATATATAAAGATTTTATTTTATATTTTAAAATAGTATTTTAAATATGGGAAGGAGCTTTCTAAGCATGAAAGGAAGTGTTGGTAGATTTCAGCATTTGAAAAATAACATCTCTGTGTCAGAAATAACAAATTGGAGGCGCCTGGGTGGCTCAGTGGGATAAAGCCTCTGCCTTCAGCTCAGGTCATGATCCCAGAGTCCTGGGATCGAGCCCCACATCGGGCTCTCTGCTCAGCAGGGAACCTGCTTCCTCGGCTCTCTCTGCCTGCCTCTCTGCCTGCTTGTGATCTCTCTGTCAAATAAATAAAAATCTTAAAAAAAAAAAAAAACTTGAAAAAAAAAAAAGAAATAACAAATTGTTTGAGCAAAGCCATTCCTAACATATTATTAGATCAAAGGCTAGAATTCTTCATATAAAAAAAACTTAAAGGAATAATTTTAAAGACATCAATTTTAAAATGGACTAAGATGATGAGCTGGAAAATAGCAAAAGAAATGCAAGTGGAAGTGTTCAACTTTATTAGTAATTAAAGTAAAATGCTATTTTTACTTATAAGATCCTGATAACCTGTTTTGATGAGAATAATAGAAAAGATACACTATGTTATCACTGTAATTATTAAAAACAAAAACAAAGCAAACTCTATCTAGAGGACAGTTTGGCAATGTGTATCAAAAGGTTTAGATTTAAAATGCCCATTGCGGGGTGCCTGAGTGACTCAGTGGGTTAAAGCCTCTGCCTTCGGCTCAGGTCACGATCCCAGGGTCCTTGGATCAAGCCCCACATCGGGCTCTCTGCTCGGCGGGGAGCCTGCTTCCCCTTCTTTCTCTGCCTGCCTCTCTGCCTACTTGTGATCTCTGTCTGTCAAATAAATAAATAAATAAATAAATAAATAAATAAATCTTTAAAAAATAATAATAATAAAATAAAATGCCCATTGCTTTCACCAGACAGCTAGTCCAGTTTTAGGAATTTAAGTAAAGCTGTACATAAATATTTAACTATAGGGAGGTTTATTGCAACATTGTTACAGCTGCGGAAAAGTGGAAATAATTAAATGTTCAACAATAAAAGACAGGTTAAATAAACTATTGTTTATCCATATAGTGACACATTTTCTGCAACATTAAAAATATGAGCAGAGAATATTTATATTATTGAGAAAAATGGATTCTAGAATAGCATACATAATTCTTGAAAAATGGATGTACATATAAGAGCAGTCTGAAAGGATATACATCAGAATGTTAACACAGCTGGGCTTAGGAGTATTTGATGATCTGTACTTCTAATTTTTACCATAACCATGTATTCCTTGTATAATCTTTTAAAATGTAATAAAAATAAATCAGTGGCAGTGGTTGGTATACATTTCACCATCGGGCCTCACTGATGTGCAATCTCCTTATCTATTTTTTTTCTAAAGCTGGGCCCCGTTCTTAGGCCTTGGATCTACAGTTTCTCTATTGGCTCCTGCGGCTAGTCCAACCCTGACCTTGTGCCCCTATTCTATTAACTGGACTTCTGCCTTTTTCCTGTCATTTCCAATTCTTTTCTCAGTAATATCTTTTGAATCCCAGGTCTTCCAATACCAGGACCCAGATTTCCTGCCACTGTTCACCTTGGGATCAACATTTTGCCCCCAGGTTCTAAGCTGATGTCAGCAACCCTGTTCCTCCTAAGGATATCCTTGATTCTGACTTTCTGCCCTTCCTATTTTCATCTCCAGGCAGATGCCACACTTCACCTGCTGGGCAGAACAACCAGCTACTAACCTGTATTGGGCTGCCACTTGTTCTCCAGCTGCCTTCCCTTCTAGATGCCATGGGTTGCCTTCCATCCTACCCTGACATGCCCAATTGCCAGCTGCTGCATTCCTGTGAAGACTCTAGGTCCAGTTTCCTGCACTTTCCAAACGACTCTGTGCCACTCTAGTTAAACTAGGGTCCCCCCCGCTACACATTTGTTACTGGGTTAAATTTCTCCCAGCTGTTTCTCATTTCCAGATAGAAAACAATAAAAGAATCAAATGGTAATTTAGTACCATACATTATCTGCTATTGTTCAAGGTTTCTGTGGCTAACAGTGAGAAATCTTTGGGTCAACTTTGAGTGAAAAATCACATTAGCATCCACTAAAACACTTAGCATAGGTTTACCAATAGAGGGCGCTCCTCCCATTTCCAGACACCACACTGATCTGCAAAGATTCCACCCTGTTCCTCCTAAGCGGAGAAATAGCAATAAATTACCTGTTATAAAACAGTGCTTAATTGTTTGTTTCTTACACTATTGTACCCAGGTATTACTTTGTTTTTCCCGGGACACATCTGTGTTGGGTCATTTTGCGTACAACAGTGCTTCACCACCGAAATCATACATAAGAGGTAAAATTTTAGTTAAAATTTTATTTACATAAAGGGAGTATTCTCTAAGACATACAAAATCATACCAAGACTGTTACATTTTATAGCATTTATTGGTGTTGTTGTATACATAAGAGGTAAAATTTTATTTACATTAAGGGAGTATTCTTTAAGACTTACAAAGTCATACCAAGCCTGTTACATTTTATAGCATTTGTTGGTGTTGAACTTTTTATTATAAAGTACTTAAGATTTCTCTCAGATTATTGTAACTGTGATTTCACTCCTACTCAAATCAGGGCTCAAGCAACTCATCATAATCACAAGCAAGTGGTTCCCAGAAGCAGCACTTAGAGTTGCCTCTCTTATTTTTCCTGCCTCTTTCTCTGTTGCTGTTTTTGTCATATCTGTTGACTTTTCTTTTCCCTCCTAATTATGAGTTTATCACACAAATTTGCTTTTTCTACTTCCTTTTTTCCCTTCTTTATTCCTTCCCTTGGAATGGTCTACCACCCTTATAATTTGATGTAATCTATATGCTATTAGCTCTCTAATTTCTATTTGAGGGCTTTCTGCTCTTCTTTATCACTAGCTGACTATAAGATATTGCTATTTCAGTATCTTGCTGTCACCTGATAACAGATCTGACTTCAGCTGGAAGCTTTTACCAATTTCTCCTTTTTATTAAGTGGTGAACACCCAACACTGAGAGCTTATAACCCCATTGTGTATGATGGTTCTGCTGTTCCCATAAGGAAAGAAACTATTTCTCCTCTATCTCCCAAGTCTGTCTAACCTGATTACTATAGTCCCTGCCCTAGGACAGGTCTACATAACCTGCTGTCCTTCTGACCAGTTGGCTGTAGATTGGGGGGTGGGGGTGTTCAACAACTTGCTTTTTGAATTCAATTAATTTTCTAAAGGGGCTCACAGAACCAAGGGAAACATGTACATTTGCCAGTTTTTTAAAAGGCATGATAAAGGACACAGATGAACAGCCAGATGAAGACATACATAGGATGAGGTCTGGGAGTGTCCTGAGCGTCGGCGCTTCTGCTCCATGGGCAGGGTGGTTTGTCATCCTCCCAGTGACTGTGTGTCTGCCTACCTGGAACCTCTCTGAACGCCTTATTACTGGGATTTTATGGTGGCTTCCTGGGGTAGGCATGAGCAGTTATTGACCTCATTTCCAGCACTTGTCTCCCTCTCTGGAAAATGGCAGACGGGGCTGAAAATTCCAAGGTTCTGATAATTACTTGGTCTTTCTGGTGACCAGTCCTCATCCAGAAGTCCACCAGAGTCACTCCAGTAGAACAACAGATGCTTCCAGTCTCTTACCACTGAGAAATTTACAAGGGTTTTCACCTAGCCCTATATTTAATATCCAGCTGGCGCTCTGTACCATCCATATCTCTCCCTCTCTCTCTCACACATCCACTTTTCATTATTCCAATCTTTCCTTACTCACAAGCTCAGTCTTTGTTATCTTTGTTATCTTTATTATCTCCACCCTAACCTAAATTGCTCATACTCCTTATTCTTTTCTCCTCTCTGTCACCACTCTCCAAAAAAAAAAAAAAAAAAATTTTTCCACTAAAAACTTACCTTAAAGCCAAGTGCAAGAATGCATGAGACTAGTCAATAGACTCAAAGGTATTGGGGGGGGGGGGAACTGTCAAGATAAAAGCTACTTTAACATATTCAGTGGAAAGCAGGAAAAAACTCAGAACCTTAAGAGTTGAGGGAAAGCTAGTTTTTTTGTTTTTGTTTTTGTTTTTTTGAGGGAAAGCTATTTTTTAGAACTACTTTTAAATGTTTGATTATGGTGAAATTACTTTAATTTTCTGAAACAAGCTTGATTCCCAATATTTAGCCTCATTCTTGGACTACATAAACTGTTTTAGGATTCAGAAAATATTACCACTATATGGTTTAAGACGTTTAATTTTTAACTCTTCAGCACATTCCAAAGGCATGTAAACTAATGAGGCATTGTGAGGCTTAGGACTTACTTTAATGAATAGATTAGAATTATTTATAGTTAGCAAAACAAGTCTATGCTTCTAAATGGACGCTTCTCTTCTTAAGTTCTTAAGGAAGTTGAAAGCATTTGTTCTTTTAATTACTTTGTATCAGTTGCTTATACTTGAGTTTATACTGTTGACTTTGAGGAAAAGATTTGCTAATATCAAAAGATTAGCTGGTAGATTTTCAAATTAATTCCATATCCTGAAACGAAGTCAAAGGAGCTGGTACTCTAGTAGTTTTCAAAACACCATTATGAGTACATCCACAAAATTAGTTGTTTTTTAAAGATTTATTTTAATCATATTGAACCTTCTATGGTTTTTCTTACAGGAAAACTAGGACTAGAAGAATATGCAGTCTTTTATCCACCAAATGGTAAGAGTAATACCATTGCTTCCTCTAGTGGGAAATAGGAAAATTGCAACTTTTGTAACAAATGTGACCTTGTCTATGTTGAGATGGATAATTTATTATCTAAAGTAAACCTTTTATAGAATATCTATTTTAGAAAAAAAGGAAAAGAAAAAAAGAATATCTATTTTAGCGAATTTTCCCATGTTTGTGGTAGGTTTGTGCTAATCTGTGCACACCCTCTCTGGCTTTCCTTGAAACCAGTAATGATGTTTATGAGAAAGCTGATCAGACTTAGGTCTAGGGTGCTTCATTTTCTTCTGCAGGACACTGCCTGGGTCCATCCAGGGCCTTCCTTTTTTTTTTTTTTTTTTTTTTTTTAAGATTTCATTTACTTATTTGACACAGAGAGCACAAGCAGGGGGGGTGGCAGGCAGAGGAAGAAGCAGACTCCCCAATGAGCAGGGAGCCCTATGTAGGCTTGACCCTAGAACTCCAGGATCATGACCTGAGCCGAAGACAGATGTTTCACCAACTGAGGCACCCAGGCCCAGGGCCTTCCTTTTGATTTCCCTGCAACAGTGCTCAAATCACTTGAGTGCATTGCCTGGTGTTAAACTTTGTTATTCTCATAATTTTACAAGTGTGGTATTTATGAAATAAAAAGATTTTGAAGAGGCACCTGGGTGGCTCAGTCAGTTAAGCATCTGCCTTCTGCTCAAGTCATGATCTCAGGGTCCTGGGATCAAAACCTACCTCAAGCTTTCTGCTCAGTGGGGTCCTGCTTCTGCCTCTCCCTCTGCCCCTCCCCTGCCTATGTTCTCTCACACTCTCTCTGTCAAATAATAAAATCTTTAAAAATTTTTGAAGAAATATATCACTAAGATAATCTATTTTGACTGTATAAACTGATCAAATGTGTAATGACCTCATTAGATATTAAGTATTCCTTTGAGATTATTGGACATTTCTTAAGATCTGCTTTTCGGAAAAGCAATATAGAACATTCTTCTTTCTGATAATTTTAAGTTGCATCCTGAAAAAGTCGACCCCAGTAGAGTTAAGAAAATGGACTTTACAATCCAACAGATGTGGGTTCAGATCCCAGTTCTGCCAGCTCACCCTGTGACCTTGGATAAGTTATATGACTTTGCCGAGCTTCAGATGCATCATCGATAGCACATGGATTAGAAGAGACTCGATCTATAAAAAGGGCACAGTGACTAATAAGTAGCCAGTGCTCAAAAAATACAGTTGCTACTGGTGTATTTCGCTTCTTTGTCAACCTCTCCATGTGAAAGTCATACTTGGCATTCACAGCACTGATCTCTCCACGCATCTGTCAGTGTGACCTCTCAGGTTCTTCCCCCAGCCATCCTCCTCTGCCCCTCTTAATTGAAGGACCGGTGTTCTCCCATGGCCCATCGCACCCCGATTCTGCTGCTCTTCTTTTCACACGTTTTCCTCAGGCTTTTTTACCCGCTTTCTTGGTTCTGTCTGTTCATTACTCTGAAATTTACATCTTCAATTCTGACCTCTAAAATAATTAACTCAAGCTTAACATATCTCAACACGAACTCATTCATTTATCTTCCTCTACCCACTATTCCAAAAAAAAAAAAGGCAAAAACAAGATGAAATTAAGAACAAAACAAAACTGTGCTTTTTCTCTCTCTGTTCGTTGTACTCTCATCTAACCAGTCCTTCAAGGCCAAATGCCAGGTAGTCATCCTTCACTCCTCTCAGTCTTGCATCCCCTCATCTAATAAGTCACCAGAGCCATCCCATTTCATCTTTAAAAGGCGTCTGGGACCTCTCCCTTCTCTCTTCTTCACCGTAACTGCTGCTTTGTCCTCAACCAGGCTTTACCGTCTCTAGCTTATTAATTTTAATAGACACCTCACTGGTCTGTCTTTTTCCAGCCTTTTCTAGCTTTGCTTTACTGTTCACAGTGCTGTCTGAGTTTTACATCTAAAAGGAAAATCTGAAAATTGCCATTTTTCTCCTTAAAGTTTTCTTCAGGCTTACCATCTCTTTATAAGTAATGTCCAAGCCTCACAGCCTGGCATTCAAGGACCTCTTTTGACTCAGGCCTCTACTCAGTCTGACTCCTAGCTTTGTATCTCCCCTTTTCCTATCTCACTTTTCTTTTATGATAGCAATATCAAATGATTAGCTACACACACACACATACACACACGCAGCCCTGTGCACTCTGTCAGAGCACCGTGCTGCTTCCTGCCTCATTACCTCTCCATTCTCATGTATGGAGAAACCTTTCTTTACCTGCTCTCAGGGCTCACCTCAGGCACAATCCTTTTCCAGAAGCTTTCCCCACATCCCCAGGTTAGGTTAAGGACACTTTCTTTAAGCTCCCATAGTATCCAGTGTAAAAATCTTTCATAACTCTTATTATATTATCTTGACATTATTTGTTTATGCTTTATCTTCCTTTCTAGATTGCAAGACCCTTGAGGTATAAGGCCATATTAATTTTTGTTCCCCCAGCATCTAGTCATCACAGGGGTTTAATGAGTATTTAACTGAAATAAATTAGAGGATTTTTAATTTTAACTTTTATTTATGTTATACCTCTGACTCCTCAGAGACCTAATTTTCAGACAACTTTTTATGTTTATCCAAGAATCAGGAAATCAAAGGAAAAATACCTCTGAAGAGCCCAAAGAAGTGTCCATGGAGTCAAGTTCTTCCTCTCTCCATTCCTAGGAGAGCTTTTCAACTTAGTTTAGAACATAGTCGGTTAAGTGTCCAACTCTCAGTTTCAGCTCAGGTCATGATCTCAGGGTTGTGAGATTGAGTCCTGTATTGAGCTCTGAGCTGGGGTTTCTCTCCCTCTCCCCCCCCTTCCCTCGCTTGCTTATACTTGTACTCCCTCAAATAAATAAATAAATCTTAAAAAATATATATTAGCTTTTACTTCACACACATGCCTAACAAGCTTGGTTTAGCAGTGTTTATGGTCCCCTGCAAAACTAGAAGCATGGAAAGGGGCCGATAAAGATAGGAAAGATGACTAGCAACAGTAAAAATGAAAATCAGAGGCTTCACAAAGGAAAATAGAAAAACGATAAACCAGCACATAAGAGCACTCCAGAAAATCAGGCTGGGACCATTTTATGTAAAAGCTTTTTAAAAGGTCTCACTGGGGGTGTAGCATACTATCATAATTTAAGACTTTTATTAGGAACTCAAGACACCAAGGAAAAATATTGCTGTAATAACAGTTAAGAGTAGCCACAGTGGCAGCTGCCAGTGTTCTCCAAGCAGCACTGTGTACCAGGCAGGGTGCTAAGCACATTGCTTATGTTCATTCACTGAATGCTTACAGAGCAGGTACCTTTGGATGCATGCATTAATATTATCCCTATTTGTAGATAAAGAAGCTGAGGCATAGCATGTCAACTTGTCCAGCTGGTGAGGTTCAAAGCCAGGCTTTGAACCCAAAGCTCTTTGACTGCAGTGTTCTCCATCACCATGCCCTTTTGCCTCTGGAAATGTTACTGTGTACGCTAGAGTGTCTTTCAGAAGAAAAGGAAGGGGCTAATATATTGAAATATATTGAAAAATTAGATGTATATAATAGGTTCTAGGAAGATATTCATTCAGAATAAAAATAGTTTGTTGCTAAATAGGGTAAACCCACAGCTTTCCGTAAACTTAATTCTTCAGAATTATTTCTTCTTTCAGGTTATTTTAGAATGTTACCAGAATCAAAGAGAACTCTCCTCTCTGGGCAATGAGTCTGAAGTTGCAGAATAAGAAGAGACAAAGAGTAGTTAGTGTGCTGTCCCTTTATTCTTTACTCAAGGCAATACAAAGCAACATTTTATATTACTCACTCTCTTCTGCCAAAGATAAGAATACTTTAAAATCTTAAGGATACCTCTGGGGTGCCTGTTTGGCTCAGTTGGTTAAGTGTCCGCCTTTGGCTCAAGTCGTGATCTCGGGGTCCTGGGATCGAACCCCGAATCAAACTCCCTCCTCAGCAGAGAGCCTGCTTCTTCCCCTCGCTCTGCCTCTCCTCTCTGCATGTTCTCTCTCTCTCAAATAGTAAATAGATAAAATCTGGAAAATTAAAAGTATAAAATCTTAAGGACACCTCTACCACCACTGCCATCAGAATTGGCCTGGCTTTCTTGGTCTCAGGGGTCCACACAGAGAGGCTTGCCTACAGCCCACTGACACACTCTCCGTCCCTGATCAGGCAGGTGCTTACCCAGGGGCACCTCCCTCCCCGTATCACCTTTCGTAGGGTTGAAATGACAGGCCATAGTGGCATTGGACATTACCCTCTCTCCTCATTTGAGGCCTTGTTAGTGGACAGGCTTTTCTGTAGTAGATTCACTGAACAACTGGTGAGCATAATTTCTGAGCTGAGGAGACTCTTCACAGGAATTACATAAACTTATCGTTTTTATTTTTTGTTCACTTTATATAACTTTATTCATTTAATACTTTAGTCCTGCTCTGGCTTTCTCTTCTGTTCTAGCTGGGTGAGCTGCAGTAATAACCTGAAGCACCTGCTATCAAGGAGCTTACATTCTATTGAGGGAGACAACCAATAAATAAGTAAATAAATAGCTAATGAAAATAATTTCAGAGAGGACATGAACAATAAAGGGGAACAAAAATTGATAGTGGCGGGCATGGCTATTTTAGGTCAGGTGATCAGAAAAGTGCTTCTGAGGAGGTAGAATATGAACAGTGACCAGAATATGCAGAGTGGGCTGTGCAAAGAGGCAGAACATTCCAGAAGGAATATACAGCCTGGTGAAGGGCCTATGACAGACATGTACCCAATGCTTTGAAGAACAAGATGGCCCGTGGGACTGGTGACAGTGAGCAAAACATAACCTGGTACAAGGTGAGGTAGGAGACTTAGGGACCAGGTCAGCTAGGGAGACAATTGATCGAAAATTTTGTCTGGTCAGTCCAGTGTCTGGGCTGATTCCTCAGAGACTATTTCTGTTAATTCCTTGTTTCCTATGAATGAGCTATCCTTT